TGGACATGGATTTGGGTAGAATCCAGGAGTTGGTGATGGACAGGGAGGCCTGGCGTGCTGTGGTTCATGGGGTCTCAAAGAGTTGGACACGACTGAGCGACTGAACTGAAATGAACTGGGTCTATCAGAGTGAAGGTGGATCCTTCCAGGCAGAGGTAGAAGGAACAGGATGAATGGCTACTGCCAACTTGTCATTAAACTGAAAAGTCATCCATTGCCTAAGTGCACACACTAATTTATGGAAGTCATCCTTTTTTGGTATGTCTTGCTGACACATTTGTATTACTTTTAAGAGTGAATAGAGTTCAGAAACAAAGAAAGCTATTGAATGGTAAATTTGTTGTGAAAAATGCCTGACAGCGAACTCAGAAGCAAAGATAAAATTAAGTAACTAAAACGAGGATGATTAGTTTATGAAGATCATACCTAGCCATCTCAATGGACTGGAAGTTGAACATCAGCCTGCGTTTTACCTGTATTAACCAGAAAGAGCAAGATGACTGCTGTGTCTTGCTGTATTTTATTTGTTTTCACCGTGAATGAGATTTAGATGGGATACTGCTCTAAGTGGCTCACCAGAATACAATTTCATTAGTGCAAATCCTATACTATACTATTTCACAGACAACCTCTCAACTCCTTCCATTCAATGCAAGAAAAATGGAGTGGTAACAGTAATAAACATATATATATGTGCATATATATGTAGCTTTTCCAGTTTTTAATGGTCTCATTTGGTCCTTAGTCCATTCTGTGAGGTCATTATTTCCACCAGACCACAGCTGTCTCATCTTGCACAGTATATATTTTATACTGCCAGTTGACATCACCATTGTAGAAGACATCAGTAGGCAGAAATTTTGTCTAGGAACCACTGCCCCACTGGCCTCGTGATCTTCTTCAAGTCTAAACACAGTCCCTTGGGATCACGGGAGACCTGGCTCTTGCTGGAAGGAGAGGTGACTTCTTGTATGAGAGCTCTGCTTCCCTTCACTGTAGAAAGGACAGTGTGATCGGACCTAGGGGAAAGGGCTCTTCCCTGCCTGTCTGTCTTCCTCCTTCTTCACTTTCTCAGGTTGAACTTGTGATTCTTACTCGCACCTTTTCCGTTTCTTTCTCCCCAAACCCTCCAATCCCGCCCTTATGGTGATGCGTCTACTCTCCTCTGTTGAAATTAACCTCATCTGAATCTTGTAAGGTTCTTTGAGTGAGTGGCAGCGTGGAACACGGGCTCTGTGTACAGGTCACCCCCGCTCAATGCGCTGACACTGGCGTCTGGTGGCTGACTGTCCCTGTTTAGCTGGGCAATCAGCCAGGTTCAGCTTAACAAGCAGAAGCTGAGAACTTGGGGATTTTGAAGAAATTAAATAGTTGCTAAGTTTTTTTTTTTTCATTTTTTGATGAGGTGGAATGAGAGCACACTTAAAATATAATGTGACTGTCTATGAATGGATGCCCACTCTCTTATAGAAACAGTGTTTTTTAAATTTTTTACTTCTTTGCAAGCCCTTGCTATGGTATAGATTTTATCCTTGTGTGTGTGTGTATAGGTATAAAACTCAGTGTTCCTTCTGGGGATGATTTGATTGATGTATACACTGGAAACATCTTTAATAATTTAATGCTTGCTTCAAAGGAGATTACACCAAAAAGCGCATTGCTTTTCATTTATTCATTACGGATCTGTCATAGAAGCATTTTTTCTTTCTTTCTTTTTTTTTGTCCTGAATTGTAGTGTTGTAGTAATAGTAGATTTCATACTACACTCAGGATATTTTAAAAGATTATAAGCCTTTTAACTAATGTTATTGTCCTATTTAAATTGATCAAACTGGTATTTCAGCCCCATAATCTTGCATTTCTGAAAGTTGAGCTAACCAGATATGGCTTCTTTTGATGACTACTAAAATAGCTGTGCTGGGAAAGTCTAATAGAAATAATGGGATGAAAACATAATACTGCTTGTTAGTAGTGGTGACAGTAATAGCAAAGAGAACAGAGCCTGAATTTAGGGCTGGGTATCTCTGTCCGTAAAAGGAGATTAGTGTATATTGCAGCCCAGCTCTTTTCATTAAAGGGAAAAAAATGAATATTCATTTGGGAGTAAAGAAAGGAGTAAGATGAGAAACTCAAAACCAGAAAGCAACACTCTATCATTTGGCAATTTTTGGGTATAAATCCAGATGTCAGTAAAGGAAAACAGACTTTTCCCCACTGAGACTGCAGCAGTCACCTTAGCAGACTTTAGCAAGCTCTTGTAATATATTCTCAGGAGCAAGGGACCTTAGATTCCTGAATAATTACATGAAAAATTTGAGTTTTCTGTTGTTATTAAAGATTTTGTATTAAAAAATGCTAACTTCTCTTTAAAACCAAAACCCGAAGTTGTTATGAATAAGGCAAGTTTTGTTGTTGTTGTTTAGTGGTGAAGTCGTGTCAGACTCCTTATGATCCCGTGGACTGTAGCCTGCCAGGCTCCTCTGTCCATGGGATTTCCCAGGCAAGAATACTGGAATGGGTGGCCATTTCTTTCTCCAGGAGATCTTCCCGACTCAGGAATCGAACCCCGGTTTCCCGCATTGCAGGCTGATTCTTTACCATCTGAGCCACCAGGGGAACCCTAAAGCAAGTTTAGGCATAGTGAAGATTACATTTTCCAGGAGACTAATAGACAGTTATCCAGTTCTCAGAGATAATTTGCAAAGAAATCGTTTTATTCTTACTATTAGTGCTGCAATATTTCTAGATTTTGTCCTGTCCTGCTTCACATACTCTGCCTAATAATCTTCAAAAAGTTCCTCCCTCGATCGACTGGTCTTTTAATAGAAATCCAGAAATGTTTTGTTCTCAGGTTAGTAATTCTTTAAACAGTAAAAGTATTATTGTCAGCTGCATGTGTCATATTTTCTGGCCATTGAAAGTACCCTTGAGTGTGCTTACAGCAGCAACTAGGTAAGTTATCAACTGCTTGTGTTATTACTGTGAGGAAGAATACAGGACTTTGGGACAAGATTGCCTTGGGTTCCACCTTAGCCCTGTGTATTCACCTGCTTTGTGATGCTGGCAACATTGACTGATTTCTCATTTATTTCTCCTTATTCATATAATGGGCATCAGAAGCCTATTTCACAGGGTTCTCGTGAGGGTTTTCAGAAATGATGAATGTATGAGGACTGAGAGTGACATTTGGCTCTCACGGGTGATGGGTGCTCAGTGTCTTTGGTGCCTGTCTTTTGTTCTTCACTTGTAAATGCAGTTCATACCGTGCTATAGAAATCTCTGTGCATAGATGTGTGAGCTCTGGCCTCAGGCCACCTCACCCCACCTTGAGTTACTGCTCTCTCCGCCTGCCCTGCGACCATGTGATGTGTGACTGCCCCGCTCTGCATTCTTTGATGTCTTTTCCTGTTCAAAATAATGTGTTGAATTTTATCTGGAATTTTTAGTCTACTCTGCTCCATCTCCTCCCTTCTTGACTTCCAAAACTGAGCGCATTATGGAACCTTATAAGAAGACGACTTATAGCCCCATAAGAAGAATTTTTGGCTTTCCTGGTGACTCAGCTGGCAAAGAATCCGCCTGCAGTGCAGGAGACCTGGGTTCCATCCCTGGGCTGGGAAGATCCCCTGGAGAAGGGAACGGCTACCCACTCCAGTATTCTGGCCTGGAGAATTCTGTGGACAGAGGAGCCTGACAGGCTACAGTTCATGGGGTCACAATGAGTCAGACACAACTGAGTGTCTTTCACTTCACTTCATAAGAAGAATTTGGGCAGTTAGAGGAGAATGGACTTCCAGAGTTAGAAGGGAGGTCAGAGTTACTGCATCTCAAACCTTCATTTTCCAGATTCCAGATGATTAAGGGACCTGTTCAATTCAGATAGCTGGAAAGAGGCAGGTGTGGGGTCATAACATAAAATAAATTCTATGTTCTTTCTACTGATCCTTAAAAAAAAACTATTATTTTATTTATGGCAAGGAAGAAATATGGTAGGTTCAGGAAAGAATGATAACAACAAATGAGAAAATATTTTAATTTTTTTTTTTTAGGATCATGCAGTGCCAAATGCTTTGCTAGGTACTACATATAACTTATTTACTCCCTATGGAAGTTTTATTACATTCTTGTTTTACAAGTGGAGAATCTCAAATTCAAAGAAATTGGGTAATAGGCAATGCCTGGCTGGGACTTTAGCCTGGGTCTTTCTCTCTCCAAAATCTTGCCTCTGGGCTTTTGCCTCTTGTTCTCTTTTAAAACAGACTTACATGTATCCAAAGAGCAGTAAAAATTCCTTTGGAGTTTATAAAGTACTTAAGCATTTTTATAGAAAGAAAGAACCTATTGTTTCTTGGCTTTGGATCTTCACGACAATCAATTTTTGTATTTGCAGATATACAGTCCACTCTCTTAGGCATTATGTGGAAAGCTGTCCACTTTTTTTTTTTTTTAGAAATCCTGGATTCACATCCTTGGCATCGTCGTCCCCTTTGTTCACACTTAGAAATTTAAATACATACCAAACACTAGTGGTAGGGATGATAACCTCTCCTCAAAGAATTTTTTTTTAAATTCCTCCTCTGGGCCAGACATTCCACTAAACATTGGCCAAGGATCTTATAGTTTAATTTTCTCTTTGCCATGGGGAGTAAGAACATTAATTATGGAGTCACATGCTTTGTTCTCGTTCTGGCTCTTCCACTTATAAGCAGTGGAATCTTGGGCTAGATACTTGATCTCCCTGTACCTTAGTTTTCTCACCTGTAAAATGGGAATACTACCAACCTTATAGGATCATTGTGAGAATTCAGTGAGAAAATATTTGCGAAGAGTGGTGTCTATAGCTATTCAGTAGAGGTTAACACAGAACATACTATATATGTGCAAACGTACGGAAGTTTTACTTGACAATCATACTATAATTATTATATTATTATAATGTGCTATGGAAAAATCTCTGGTCTGCTTCCTATCTTTATCCATTATTTCTTTTGATCCATCAGAGGCCAGCAGAAATAGTAGATGAGGAAGAAGATAGAGAGAAAGAATACAAGGAGGTGGAACAGAAGGAAGACTTCTCAGGAATGAATGGTGAAGTTGAAGAGGACGAAGGAGACCAGAAGCCCGAAGCTCCAGAGCAAGCCGAGGCGATCCCGGATCCCAGAGAGGAGCAGGCAGGTTCTGCGGCTCGTGTGAACGGAGGGACCGATGAAGAAAACGGCGAGGAACTGGAACAGGTTAATAATGAGCTTCAAGAAGAGGTGGATGAGGAAATAAAGTCTCAAGGAGCTGGCAGTGGACATGAAGAGGTATTTCTATAGGATTATTTATAAGGATTAAATATTTATAAGGGTTAAAGACAATATTGAGTCATTTTTTTTCCCTGTAAATTTTATTGCCTCTGTAACTGAAGAACTAAATATCTTTATTTTCATCTGTTTTCCCCTCAGGCTGACTTGGACCCTCAAAGACCACCAAAACCAGAAGTAAAAATCACTAGTCCACAAGAAAATGATGACAATGAACAAAACAAGGATAATTTGTCGTAGCATGGATGATTTTTAAAAAGAAAGTATACTGAGTATAACAAAAATGAAGGATTAAATACTTGAAGAATAAGTATATAGCTATTGCTAAACATAATGTGACAATGTGGTTGAATACTACTTACTGAAATTTAAAATTAGAGGCCTGACTAATGGGAAAGACTAGATAACTTTGAAGAGCTACTAAAGGAGAGTGACTTCTTTTTATGAGCTGTGTTTTTAAAAGTCATGTAGAAAAATTAAGCGTCATAGAGGGGATTTTGCCCTGGAAGACAGTTGGCCACTTGTCTTTGTAAAGATGGAAAAACACAGGACCATACCTGTTCTTGAGGAGTGAGATGATTGGATGGCAGCTTATGCTAAAGCACTTATCTAAGAGGGCTTAGAATTTTAAAAAATGATAATAGGAAAGCACGTACTATTTTTTTTAAAAAAGCAATAAACTCTTGAATAAACTAATTGCAACTTAGTTTCAGAGATAATTTGAAGGTGGCAGTAGACTGAAATGTTTCTGTGTCTTGTTGACATTCCTTTCTTTCTTCCTCCTTAGCCAAAATCCACCTTAAAAGAACTAAAAGGAAAATGCAAGGTATTCATTTTGGAAGGAGGAAGTATTCGCTCAGTGTGTTCCACGACAATATTGTCGTGCCCCTCCCTTAAATACTGCAGGTTTTAATCGTCCGGATTTAATGATACACACTCAGGAAGGAATTACAGAATGGAACACCTAATTGTATCGCTGAGCCTGTCTGGGTGGTTTACAGATTCTGGTATCCAATGGATTTTAGCTGATCCAGTCTACCATTACCAATAATACTCCTCTCTTCTTCATATTATTATATTAGAAAACTCAAAATTGGGTATTCCAAAGATTGAATTTTCTCCAAACAGTTTTTTAACAAAAAGAGCAAGGCCGTGTAGTAGATAAAAAACCTAGGCTGTAAGATTTTGTTACGCCTCAGTTTCTCTTGCTTTTTATGTTATTTTTATTAGAACTGCCCTGTCATATTTTTTCCCTTAGGGGTATCAGCAAATACTTCTTTTCATGGTCAGTTATATTTAGACTTTTAAAGAGATTCTTTTCTCTATAATTTGAAGCTATAGGATAGGAATTGTTGAAAAAAGTTTAAAAATTGTCATAATGAAACCAGTTCCTGATTACAGTTCTAGGGTTAATTAAATTAAATCAGATTGCTTCGTCAGGTATATGAAGGGAAAAAAGGTCATGTTAGTTTTGAATATTTAAGAGATGATGTAGTTCTTCCTTAAATATAGAAATAATATGTTTTCTCATATTAAAGAGTATTTTTTGTTAGTTATGTAGAAATTTGCAATTTTAACTTCTTGTGCTTTCATAGAATTCATTATTAATGATGATTTTGAAAGATTTATCCGCCCTCCAGGTTTCATAACCAATCACTTGGAATTAAAGTTATATAAAGCACTCAATAATACTATAGAAAACTGATATATTTTTCTTAAAAGCTATTTTAATATTTTCCATAAATAGGAAGTATATGCAGTGACTATAACAGTGTTGGAAAGAGATACTGATATACAGGTATATTGATCTAGGAGGATGAATTATAAATGGGGTACTATATTTCTAAGATAAACTCTAGATTGTTCTTTCTACTAGTAGGTTTATTTTTTTCAAGTGAGGCAGTATAAAGCTTTGCAGGTAATAAGCAATCATCTTAATAATTTTTGTTGCTAGGGCAATAGATGACTTGGTTTTTTAATGTTAAATTCCCACACTATTACTAGGTCTGGAGTTAATGATTTCAAATAGTTTATAAAAATAAAAGATTGCATATAAGAAGTTATAACTAATTATCAAGATGGTTCTTCTTTCTTTAATGAGGATTTTATCTAGCTCTTCCTTCTTCAATAAAGATATTGTCTCTCATTTTTTCCTGTTCTTTGCTTCATCATACTTAACATTTTGGAGAAGGGAATGGCAACCCACTCCAGTATTCTTGCCTGGAGAATCTCATGGATAGAGGAGCCTGCCAGGCTACAGTCCATGGGGTTGCAAAGCAAGACATGACTGAGCAACTAATACACACACACAAACACACTTAATATTTAGGTTTGGAGGAACTTTTTAAGAGTCATCTTAGTGAAGCACAATGTCACTTTAAATAAAACATTTAAATACATTTAAGGTATTTAAATATACTTTAAGAAAGTGATAGGCTACAATAACTGTAGCGAAAAACTTTAACATTGGGATATAATACTTCTATGTGCGTATTTCACCACCTATCTATAAGATATAATTGTGACCTAACTTGAGGAATGAACAACCACTAATGACTTTAAAACACTTTGCAAGCATATGTTACTAAGAAAAAAAAAGAAAAAAAATGTTGTCTTACCAAGGAAGAAATCATTAACAGATGCTTTCTGTAAATGGTCATTTTGGAGATGACTTTAACACACATGATTCTAATTAATTCACCTCCCAAACGACATTTTGCTTTTTGGTGGCCTCCGTGGCAGATTAGTTGCACAAATTGAGACTCACTGACTGGTTTGGAGACCATTTATGTGAGTGAACAGAAGAGATCTTGGTTAGGCTTCAGCTATTGTTTTATAAAGGGTTCTATGTAAAACCAATGGAGCTTTTATGTGGTGACCAGTCAGAATGTTTTGATCTGTTATTTCTTGTGATAGTTTTCATAGTTTTACTTTTTTATTTTCATAGTTTTAATTTTAATGAAATGCTTTTCTTAAATTTAATTGCATTTAACACACTTGTCAACAATGGGTTTGTTAGTTGAAATGGAACACTGGGAGTTACGCAGTAAGAATAGGGAAGATTTTTCAGTTCAGTTCAGTCGCTGTCGTGTCCGACTCTTTGCTACCCCATGGACTGCAGCACGCCAGGCTTCCCTGTCCATCACCAACTCTCGGAGCTTACTTGAACTCATGTCCATCGAGTTGAACTAAAGTCATTTCTCATGCAAAGGACAGTTTATCTGGTTTAGCTTCTATTTAAATAGCATTTGAGCATCCATGGATTTTTCATATAAAACAAGATACTCTGGCCATAAGATAACTTTTTACTCATTATATTTCTGTATGGTCATAGGATGACTTTTTATTTAAGACATTTTTGAGGGGGCGGTATTAGAAAGCCAGCCTCATAGGAAGAGATTAATACCCTCTTGTGCCTTCTGTTTTATTCTGTGTTAATTCCTGTTGTCGTATGTAAGCATAAACCCATTTTTATGTATATATATGAATGACTTGGAGTCAGTTAGATCTCTCTGTAGGCTTACAACTGTGAAGCCATACTAATATGAACTTACGTTAACTCTTCTAGTTTACAGCTCATAAACCAACATCCCCGAAAATTTCACTGAATACTCTATCTTCTACCCAAAGGATAAAGCAAATTCACCCAGTGAAAACTGTGGCCGCTGAACAACAGGAAGTCTTCTTTGTTTTGTTAACTGACTCTCCTAAAGGATCAGCTCTATCCTTTCATTTTTTGCTCAACAAGGAGCCAAGGCAAAAATTTAGAAGATAGATTAATTGCTAAGCAGAAAGCTTCACATCTGAACTGTTGCCAATCTGAACAGAAATAGACCACATAGATACACATAGACACGTAACACACTCACACAGATGCACTCACACACTTTAAAATGTTGAAAAAGATTTCCTCAGGCACAGCATTATTAATGCAATAAGGCTCTTGAGAGAAGCAATGGATATAAACTGTTAGAAAGGAAATGCTAAGAAATGATGTATATCATGGTGCTTTAAAAGTTGGTTCCTGAAGACTATAGGATATTTTAAATTTTTCTCAAAATAAAAATCTACCAGCATTTTAATGGAAAATTAATTCTAGGGAAGGGTGAGATATGTATCTATCTATATAACCTTATTTTCCTAAATTAACTACAGACTGCAGGTCTTCAGTCATCAGTCTTAAGTACCAAAAACTTCAGGTGCAGAATATGTCCTGCCAATACAGGGTCTGTCAAAAGTCATTGTTGCTTGTTAATGTGTGTGTGATTTCCATGAACATCTAGAGAGGAGTCTGGTATCAAGTAGCCAAGTTCACTACAAATAGAATAAAAGTCTGACTTATTAATCTATTAGTTTATCTAATTTTCAAATTCAGTGCAGAAGATTTTTAGGTTCCTTGTATGAGTGATATATCCTGAAATGGAACAGTTTTCTATTTTTTTAAGGTTAGTCTGCTTTTCTGAGGTGATGAGCATGTACAGTTCTTCATTATTAAATATCGTTTTTGTAAATAGTGTAAGATTTTTGCTTTTCAGAAAATATCCTGGTATTTGGATGGGTCTGATTTTGTTCTTACTACATGAAATTTGTATATTTCTTACCATGAAGTCTAAGTGACTTGGATGGAGAACAAATATGTGCCCCCACATGTTGATGAGGAAGAAAAATACTGTTTTTGAAGAGGCATAATGTCTTGTAGGATATGGGGAGTTAGGAAAGAATTAAAAAAATGTCTTGATAACAATAAAGCATTTATAAAATCAGGAGATGACTAATGCAGGTTCATTGACTTAAGCCAGCAACGACTTAGCTTTAATCTATGAATGGGACCAAATGAGTTCTCTGTAGTTTCATCTGCTTAAACCATGTATTTTAATTGAAGGTTTGAGTTATTGTCATAAATGTAATGGCATATGGGAAGAAGAAATGACAGTAGTAAATTTTAGAAGAAGATTGCAGAAAACCTATCCAATTCTTTTGCTTCAATGTTTTTCCTTTGTCTTAAATCCTTAATATGTCCAAAGATAATGGGTGATTATTGAAGGTTTTTGTAAAAATTAAGTTGCGCTCATCATTTTTGTATGATTTATGTTTAGAACTCCTCTTTGTAAGGAAAATTATTTATGTTTTGATCAAATTATGAGCATTTAGGTTTTTATTTCTGTATCAGTGCTCACTCTAAAATATGTTTGCTCTATTTTTTCTCATTCTAAAATATAAGTTTGCTGTATTATTTTTAG